TTGTTGTTGTTGTTGTTGTGTTGTTGAAGACGATGATCCCCCCCCACCCACACACACACGCACACATACACATATTATATACTCACACAAACATACATTGTGCAGGTAAAAAGAAAAGAAAAGGAAAGAATAAAATAGAAACGAAAGAAAGAAAGACAAAAAAAAAAGGCTCTCAACACTCAGGAAGATTCAAATCCTTTTACGTCAATCCGCCTATAACCCCCACCTCCACCCTGTTTCCTCCCCCTCCCCCTATTTTTTTCACGAGTTCCATCCAACCCTTCCTCCACCCCCTTTTCCCCCTCTTTTCGTCTCCTATCCCACCATCCAACCCCACCCTGCCTTCCTCACCCCACCCGCCCACCCCGACCCATATCTTCCTCAACACACCAACACCCTCCACCCTCAAATTCCCCACTCCCTTGGGTATAAAAGACACTCCAATATAACACAAAAAAAGGGACTGAGAAAACTTGGAGGGCCCGGCCTTTGGTTCTGGCCTCACGCCTTTGTCTCCCAGGCCCCCGCCTTAATCCCTTTGTCTGTCACTCCTTTGTTGTCCCTCCCTGATGGAGAGACGGACGAGCTGGGCGGCCATGATAGGCCGCCGCTCGTGCGCCCGGATTAAGGCACGTGCGGTTTGATCTGAGCCGAGATAGAATCTCTCTCCATTCCTCTTTGTTGTTTGGGAGAGTTTTGATTGTTTTTCAAGGTTGTTTTGTGGTTTTTGTCTTTGCTTTGTGTCCTACCGTTCTATCTAATAGTTTTAATGTGTTATTACAATTTTTTCTTATCATCATCATTATCATCATCATCATCATCATTTGATCATTATTGTTTATAATATTATTAGCCAACTCTTTTATAACGTTCCCTTTCATTTCCCTCTTTCGTATTTTTACATAATGTCATACTGATTTTTGTTTTCTAAAATCTCCATTTAGGTCGTTTACATCGTGTTTGCAAAATAAATTGATACTCATCGATTTGAGTAATTAGCGCAAAACTTTTGCCTTATGGCGTGTATGAATGATGCACCACCTCCAACTACAGCAATCACAACACCAACAACAAGAACAACAGCAAGTAGAACAACAACAACAACAACAACAACAACAACAACAACAACAATGACAGCAACAACAACAATCAATCAATCAATCAAAACAATGCTGTTCAAAGACATTAGAACTCTTTAGAAAACAGACGGGTCTGTACAGGTTCATAGGGATCGCTCTTACAGCCTATCCTTGTAAATGACGCTTTCACTTCAACGGCATGCACACCCACCCCATTTTCATTGTATAATAAATCGTAAAATATATTATAAAATATACACCAATTCTATAACCTTACTCGTTTACTGTTTCTTCTCGCCCATTTTTAACTATATTTTCATCATCCTGCTCGCTGTCCAACATTCATTACTCAAGTCTTATTGTGTGCACAGCCTTGTTTTTGGTTGTTCTTTGTTTTGTTTGCGTGCATGATATTTTGGGGGGTGGGGGGTGGGGGGATGCAGGTTAGATAGTTTCAATCCACGGGGACGAGATGCATTGATCGTCTTATTTTAAGTAGTCGCACATTTAAATCATCTTCTCATCATATTGAGAGAAAGGTCATGCGATATCATACCGCCTCTCCTCCTCCACTCCACCCGCTAAAAAAAAGATAACAATGATAATTTTGTTAAAACATGGACCAGTGTAGCTGTAATTCAATATTTATACCCAAACGTTTTTCTTTGGTTTGCTGTAGCATATCCCCAAAGAGCGATCAAATTATGCTAATGGTCATTGCACTTTAAAATTACACAATAACGAAGCGTCTGGTATTTTCTGAAGGACACAGAATGCATTTTGTGGAAATAGAGTTCCCTTTGGGGGTCGGGAGAGGTTTGTATTACCACAGGGATTGTACCGTCGACTGTAATATACGTCTCAGTGAAGTGCTATTTTACGTTTTAGCATTTTTATTTTTTTATGTTTCATGAATCCAAACCCTGCTGAATGCATCAGAGAACCAGGGAACAGGGACTGTGTTAAGTGATGATTTTCATCATGGTCTCGATACTCAGTGTTTTGTTGTGTGTTTGCCGCTTATTAAGTTAGAATGGCGAAGGAAATAGACTATCAATTGCCAGGGACTTCGCTGGTTTTGTTTTAATTCGCTTTTTAAAAAATAGTCATGTGTCAACTCCTTCTTATGACGGTAGGCAGTGACCAGGATCTTTACCTCTTTCTTGCTCCTTCGCATGGATATATTGACGTGGTCGCCTTATTCTTGTTATTGTCGTGGGGTGCGAAGCGCATAACCGTCATGCCTCAGACATCGGTGATCCAATGTTTCATCCATTTTAATTTGATTAATAAAATCCTTTCTGTCTTGGCCAATGTGTGGGAATTATTGGTGTCGATTAATTAAGCTTCCTCGGACAAATTCTGCAATTTGAAAAATAAAATGTTGATGTTTTCCGCCCAGATTAACACTGTTTAGATAATTTAGGAGGCGGGTTTTGATCCTGCTGCTAGGACTAACTCAGGCTGAGAGGGACACAACGTCTCAGCAGATAGACTGAGACACTCGATTTATGAGAAAAAATCCTCCCGAGAGGTGAATCGAACTTGGGTTCCCTGTGTGCAATGGCGAAAAGCCTAACGGCTACACCAGAGATTCCGATCCAGTGTAGGCTATCTTCATCATCATCCAGTGCCAGATCTGCGACAGACATCGGCGATCGTGGTTCTACATTCATTCCTTTGCTCGGATGCTCTAAAAAAGCTACGTTTCCCTTATCTTTCCCCTTAGCAGTTGCGAGCGCCGTAAAACCTTATACTACTACTACTACTACTTATCTTTCCCTGTTACCCATTTGTTTAGGTTCCCCAAGTAGATTGTTCTGGGCCTATCCCTGCCTCGTTTGCCTTCAATTTTTCCAATGAGAGCTAGATGTTTAAGAACCTTATGTGTGTGCTATACGATTAATAAATTGTCCCAACTGTAATTTAACACCATCTGTCGTTTTCTCTGTCCAGGTTTGGCCATCGACTGGGTGTCTCGCCACCTGTACTTCACCAACATGGGTCAGTCCACGCCAGGTCTGGACGGCGCCGTGTACTCCTGGCACAGGCTGGAGAAGATCGCCCTGGACGGCTCGAGTCGCCGGACAGTAGTCACTGATGTGGACAGGCCGCGCGGGGTAGCCATTGATCTGGACAATGGGTGAGAAAGACGGGGTGTTCCACTTGTCTCTATGTTATTGTTGTTGCTGTTGTTGTTGATCTGGAAGATGATTTCGTCGTCGTCTTCGTCGTCGTTGTTGCTGTTGTTGTGTTGTTGAAGACGATGATTTTGTTGTTGTTGTTGTTGTTGTTGTTGCTGCTGCTGCTTCTGTCGCTGTTGCTGCTGCCGATGATAATGATAATGGTTATGATCTTCTTATCGTTTTTGTTGTTGTTGCTGTTGTTGGTGGTGTTATTTCGTCTGTTAATGTTGCTGGCTGTATAGATGCTACTTTTTTGTCTTCTTATTTATTTATTTTTGTGTTGAGACTGTCTGTGTAGTTCTTTGCTGTTGTTGTTGTTGTTGTTGTTGTTGTTGTTGTTGTTGTTGTTGTTGTTGCTCTACTTGCTGTTGTTCTTGTTGTTGGTGTTGTGATTGCTGTAGTTGGAGGTGGTGCATCATTCATAAGGCAAAAGTTTTGCGCTAATTACTCGAATCGATGAGTATCAATTTATTTTGCAAACACGATGTAAACGACCTAAATGGAGATTTTAGAAAACAAAAATCAGTATGACATTATGTAAAAATACAAAAGAGGGAAATGAAAGGGAAAGTTATAAACGAGTTGGCTAATAATATCATAAACAATAATGATCAAATGATGAT